CATGCCTTAGTTTTTTCATTAGTGAAACAGTAATAAGAATGCAATGTTTTACATACAAGTGTTACCAAAATGTCATTTTTGGATCCTTATATACAATCTGCAATTACTAGGATATAATTTCTTTTCTGGATATAAATAGAGACACACAGAGAGAGAGAGTGAGAGAGAGAGAGAGAGAGACACACACACTGACTGTTGGTGTTTGTTTTTTGGATTTTTTGTTTTTTTTAAGCAGGCAGGCAGTTCTGGGGATTGAACCAAGGTTCTCTCACGTGCAAGGCAAGCACACTACCACTAAGCTATAAGACCAGCCCTTGATATTTCATTAATCAATGATATACACACATATACTTCCAATTACAGTAGATGACTAGCATAAGAAGGCCAATGTTACCTCTCTAAAGGATATAACTCCATCTATAAATAGCAACACTATACATTTAATCTGTATAATCTTATCACAAGTAAAAATGATTTTAATTCTTTTTTTTTTTCCATCTGAAAATACTCCTAAGAGTCTAAACAGAATTGGAAGCTACTGAAGACTAAAATCAAGAATTATATATTTTGGACTGGGGCTGAAGCTCAGTGGTAGAGCACTTAGCTCACATGTGTGAGGCACTGCATCCTCAGCATCATATAAAAATAAATACATAAAAAGATATTGTGTCCATTTTCAACTAAAATTATAAAAAAAGAATTATATATTTAGATAATGTGCATACAAGTCTCCTAGCTTAGGCTTATAAGAGTCATATACTAAGAAAACTGACATTATTGGAGAATTAGTGATCTATCAGTTTAATAAAAACTGCTAGCAATAATATAATACAAAATTGATATTATTAGGGAATCACTAATTTGACATCTTAATAAAGACAGCTAAAATATAATACACATAAAATATTAAATTACAGTAAAATAGAAATGGAACACAGAAATAGAAAACTGTCAAGTGACTCCAGAAATTATAAATTCAAACTCTAGTATAGTATCATTTCTTTTTCTTTACAGTTTTTCATACACCTTAAAAATACCTAGGCCTTTATAAATCAGACATCTTTAGTGTCTTGCTATTAGTGACTTCCAGAGTCCTTTGTAACAGTCTTAGAGATGAATAGTTCAGTCTATATTTTTTGGATATCTACTATGTACCAGAAACTATATTTAAAAATAAAACCCCTACTCTCAGGTTTATAGTCTGTGTGGAAGAAATACAATTAAATACACAGACACATAAAAAATATGTAAGACTTGAAGAGTAGTTTTTTGTAGAACAGGAATTATAAGTACTTCTTTTTTAACTCACATGTCCTAAAATGCTTAAATTTTATATAATAGATACATATAATATATATTCCACTTATTGATCAAATGAGTCAAACTATTAAAAAATGGCTAGTAGAGACGTAAGGTACTACAAGGATATTCACTTTCACAACTTCATTTCTGTAATATAAGTACTGCTATCTGGGGAAAAAAATGACAAGAATACAAACAGTAATGACTACTAAAGAACATTTTCACACTATTGGTCAGACTGTACATTAGTACAACCACTATGGAAATCAGTATGTAGGTTCCTCAAAAGACTAGGCATGGAAGGAATCACCATATGACCCAGCTATATCACAATATTTATCCTAAAAAATTAAAGTCATCATTTTATAGTAATACATGAATACTCATGTTTATAACAGCACAATTCAGATTAGTCAAAAAAGCAGCATAGGAGTCCATCAATGGATGAGTACATAAAGAGAATGTGGTGTATATATACACATTTTTATATGGAGTTTTATTCAGCCATAAGGAAAAATGAATTTTGTCATTTGCAAGAAAATAGATGGAACTTGAGACCATTATGTTAAGCAAAAAAAGTTCAATTTGGAAGGTCATATATTTTCTCTCATATGTGGAAGTTAGAGAGGAACAAGTAAAAGAAAGGTGGGGAAGCTGACCTCATGAAAATCAAAAGGAACCAGGAAAAGGGAAGGAAAAGAGGAAATACTGGGGAAGGACATTAGCCAAATTATATTTTTATATCGTGTGCATGTACAAATATGTAACAACAAATCCATTAATGTACAACTATAATGCACAAATAAAAATATAGAAAAATAAATAAAACCCTAAAAAATGGTACTTTCCTAAATCATAATAATAAAACCATATTTTCTTTAAAGTAAGAGAAAATTCTAGTTTTTCTAAAAATATTCAATTTAGAAAGTCAAAGGAAAATGCAAAGAAGCAATAAGAGAAAAAGGAAAACATATTACCAAGTAGAAAAGCAAAGACTTGACCTATAAGTTAGCAATAAGAACAAGCATTTTTGTTTTTCCACCTTTCTAAAAGTTAATCGTGGATGGGTGTGGTGGCACATGCCTGTAATCCCAGTGACTTGGGAGGTTGTGGCAGCAGGATCGTAAGTTCAAAGCCAGCCTCAGCAATGGTGAGGCACTAAGCAACTAAGTGAGACCCTGTCTCTAAATAAAATACAAAAAAGGGCTGGGGATTTGGCTCAGTGGCCAAGTACCCCTGAGTTCAATCCCCCATACCAAAAAAAAAAGGTTAATTTTAATTACACTAAGCAATTTTGGGGATCTCTTAAATATAAGTGCAATTTTAAAACAAATGCAATCATATTTAGCTTGAATTTTAAACAATAATCAAATTAATCAAACTAATTTATGAAAGTAATCATTCCCTTTTTCAGCTTCTCTAAATGATAAGCCAGATGATATTCAGGCATTCAGCAAAGTGAATTAAACTCAATTTCTGATCATTGTATAAACTAGAACAATAATTATTAAAGTGTAGTCCATGGATCTCTAGGAATACCTAAGACCTTTCTTTTTTAATGGGTTTGTAAGTTCAAAGAAAATGAATTGTTTCCATAACAATCCTAAGAGAGTTTTTATCTTTTTTCCTATTTTTCCATCTTCACAGATGGCACAAAAGCAATGGTGTGAAAGTGCTAGTATTTTAGCACAAATCTAAATGTTGTATTAAATGTTTCATTGACACATATAGTTCAAAAAAAAAATCAAATGATACAAAGATCCAGTTTTATCAAAAAATATCTTTGATTCAAAAGCAGTGAAAGTTATTTGTATTAAATTTTGACCTTAGAGTACAATTTTTTAATATACCGTGTAATGAAATAGGAAATAAAAAAAAAAGAACTGCTATGTATCAAGATATGTTTGTTATTTCAAGAAAAGGCACTTGTATGATAGTTTGTTATCAGTTAAGTTGGCACCTTTTTTTTGGAACACCATTTTTATTTGACATAATACTTTTGTGTGTGTGTGTGTGTGTGTGTGTGTGTGTGTGTG